GCAACGGTAATCTCGACGAGCTGTCATGTCCTGTATCCAGAAACAGAATCGATAAAGAATCCCACGTGATCTTTCTAAACTCGTCCACGGGTCATCACGCTGCAGCATGCCACAGTCCGAGCTGACGCTCTGTCCCCGAACACGACATGTGCGTGGCGTCGAATCACAATTTCATGATGACCTCCAAGTCAAGTTTAGCAGGCAAAAGTCTCCTCCCAAGGCTAATTCTACAGCATACGCGTTCCTGCAGCGTACCTGGCAGAAGTCTCCGATCGGTAGAAGAGCGGCCGCCATTCAACAAGTTCACAGTAGCCGGAGTGTAGCTGCACTGCTTAGTTTGGTACCTGACGTCTCAACGACAGCTCGTGGCACAGCGGCTCGTATCGATAAAGAAATTACCATCCCCACAATTCATGAGACGCACAGGACTTGTGCGAGGGGACGTGTGGTCTAGACCACACTTGAATGACATACTGCAGGTTACTGCTCAGTTGTGGAGTTGAGAAACACAACCGTCGTCACGATTTGCATAAGTGGAGATATCGTAGTTTTGCATCTACTCCGAGTAGAAGGAGTGGCTGTAAGTGCGCAAATACTCCCTGTACAAGTTCATGGATGAAGCCTGGATACAGAGGGCGCGTAACGAAGGTCTGTGGATTACGTAGGCTTCAACACACTATAGAGCCTCCTTCTAGGCGCTGCGTACGTCGCGCGCTTGTATTAGTATACAGGCGTGTAGGCGTACTACGGTTATTGAGCCTCCACGGGATGTAGCGACCGGTACACCAGAGCGGCAGCGTGCCGCGGACAAACGAAACAAGGTTCTAGCGGAACAGCGGAGCGTTTGATCCCCCAGGGAGACGTTTTTGTTCGTTGGTTCTGACAGGTTACGCAATCTTGTGCGTTGAGTTAGGTGAGAAGTGACGACTCGCGTCTAGAAGTGTCGAGCGGTTGAGACTCATGTATGCAGAATGAAAAGTTAGGAGATTCATAGAAGGCAGAAATCAAGATTCTGGAGCGACGATGAGGTCTTTGCGTGACGTACGCGCCTCGTAACTACCTGAGCAGGCTGGCGTACCCATACTAGCAACGAGCTTGTTCGATAACGTCTGCGTATGCTTTTGCTCTACATTCGCGAAGTGGCTTATTCCCAGACGTTCGAAAACAAGGTCGTCTTTCGCGTTGGACGATGGCTTCCGCCTTGACCAAGTAGGTTGAAGAGGTGTCCGATCTGCAACAGTGTCCCTTGGACATGCCAACGTTCACTCTGCTTTTCCTTCAGTCAGGTACCGAGATGAACTTCATGCGTGCCGTTCCAATATCGCATCGATGGCGAATGAAGATTGCTGAGTTCGCCGCAACTCTTGGTGAGAATCGCGTGCGTACCAGCTCACTCAAGCCTTCCCATTCAGCACACTGTCAACAGCGCCCCACCGATCAATACTTCTCTTGATCAATCCTGCCATCAACTCCTTTCCGACAACGCCCCCACCGCTCTTCTCCACCCTCCTAATGACCAAGTCCTTCGTGCCCTTCTTTCCGCCTGCACAATCCACCATCACACTGACAGTCTCTCTACACACGCCCTCCTCAAACGCATCAGGATCGCTGAGCACAAAGTCTACTTCTTCATCCTCCTCTTCTCTCCTGCCCTCGAACACTGCAAATGTACTAGGTATCGGTAGACCGCGTAATTGAAGGCGATGCGCCTCCTTGGGTTCGTCTGAGCATAGGATTCCCTCGTATTCCTCGTCGTAGTATGCTTGTGGTAGGAGTGTATCGCGAAGCGCAGCGAGTATGGATATCCACGCCGCGTCGAATGCATTGCCATCGATGCTGATGAAGAACACGTCGAGGTAGAGAACCCAGTATCCCTTCAGTTGTGTCTCCGCTTCTGTGTCTGGGTCTTCGGGGTTCGTGGATGGCTTGTACAATATGCGGAGATCTGAAGCGCGGAGCAATCGTGTCGAGTTGAGGAGAGAGCGTATGCGGGTTATGAGCGTTTGCGCATATGTGGAAGGCGCGTTGCCGGGGATGTGTGAGGGTGTGCTGCCTGTAGATAGTTCCACGTTCGGGACAAGTAACCTCAACTCTTCTACTTCTTCGCCGTTGTCTTCTTCCTCCTCCGTATTCTGGTCGGCAGTCTGTCCGGGATACTCAAAGGTACCCGGGATGTCTTCCTCTTTCAAGATCTCTGCGCGCACACCGCAGACGACGCTTGTGTTTCCCAGTCGCACGACTGCACTGCCACTGCAGTGGGTGAGACTTCCAGTGTTGATGCCTGGTGTGCGGAACTCGTTTGCAGTACGGCCATTTGCGCGTATGGGCTTCTTCTTCTCTGCGGAAAGATGCGCCTGTAAGAACGGGTGCGGGGAGACGGCAGCGAAGATGGGGCGAGGGAACGTGAGGGCTGGGGAGGGCTGGGTTGCGGCTGCCATGGCGAATGTACTGGAAATTGATACGCGCTTGAATTGGGTGTGATGTTCGAGGCGCGAGTTGTTAGCATCTATGTCGGCGCTGGGAAATTTTGGAGCTCAGAGCTATGACGCGCTAGAGTTAAGCTTAAATGGGTGGGGCATGGAGATCACAACCATCGTCACGTATCAAGTCAAATTTGTTGGCTGTAACAAGAGCAAACAGGTCGACTTCGCACAACATTAAAACTACGTAACCTACACGCTATGCCTCAAGGGTATTCCGATGCGCTATGAACGCGACGCGACAAACAAAACATTACAGGTATATCCGATGCTCTCAGTCAATTTGTAAAGTCTGCTCGCGATCGTAGCTTCGTCGAGTTTCGAGCCTATCCTGAACTGAGTCCGGCCTTTCCAGCCTGTTGAACAGGCGTCCACTTGCCCTCCTTCTTGAATTGATCACCCCTCAATGTGCCCTCGGCAAGTTGGCTGATCATGTAGTCCCTTCCCTTGATCATCCACACCATCTGACTGGGCACCCTGAAGCCGTTGAATGCACCTACACCCTTCTGGGTGCCGATGGGGCAAATCTGCTGCTCCTTCAGGTTCGCCGTGTAGTGGCGATCGCCCTTGTGTGGCTCCCCAGTCAGGTGGGCAAGCAGGTCGTTCTTGAGGTTTGTCATAGCCGCAGGTACAGCGTCGTACATGTCCATGACACCTCCACGTGTATAAGAGCCTGCATCGCCGACGACGTAGACGCGGGGACCGGCGGATTCGTGCTCGACGCGGAGGGTCTTGTCGTTGCATGCGACGCGATTGCGGGTATCGAGCCACTCCTTCGGAAGGAAGCCAGTGTTCGGCCGAGAGCCTGTCGCATCGATGTAGATATCCGCTTCGACTGTTTCGCCATTGCTGAGTTCCACCCTCGTCTTTGCGCCTTCTTCTTCGCCCGCTTTGGTGGATCCAACGACCCTCGTGTTGTAGGTAACATTGCATCCGAGACGCTTTAGGAATTGCTCAGCGGTTTGACCAATGGCTGGACGTAGCAGAGGCAAGAGCTTCTTGTCTCCGCAAATGAGCGTGACTTTTGCCTTTGGGTTCTTGGGCGCGGATGCCATGAAACCCGGTCTGCCGTTCAGGATCTCTGCAACCTCTCCAGCAGTCTCGACACCTACTGGGCCGCCTCCACCGATGACTACCGTCTTTGCGCTCTTCAGGCCCTCCTGGAAGGCGGTATGAACCTTCTCGAGTGCTTCGCGGTCGGTTGCCTGTGTGAAGAGCGGGCTTGGTGTGGTGAAACCAGTCGCGATGACAAGCGCAGCGTATTCGACGTTTTGCTGCTCGCCAGATGCGGTTTCAACGCAGACTGTTTGGCCGGTAGGGTCGACATTTGTCGCAGTTCCTTGGATGAACTTGAACTTGGGGAACGCATAAGTGAACGCAGGCTCGATGGGGTAGAAGGTCTTCTCCGAAGGCATCATCTGTTTGGAGACGCTTTCCCGAGGTGCTGCGATGCGCCACCAGAGGTCTTTGGAGGGGTTGACGAGCGTGACATTGTATGTAACTCCATCCTTCTTGGGTAACTGTGGGATGACATGCTTGAGGGCGTAGTGCGCAGCGCTGATGCCTGCAAATGATCCTCCGAGGATCAAGATAGTTTCGGTACTCATGGTGAACGATAATTAGAAGATGCGCTTGGATTGGGTATCGTAAAGAAAAGAAGACGAAGAGATAGATACAAACACGTCGCAAAAGAAAAAGTTCAGGAGACGCGTCGCTATTAAACTTTAGGCGCGCTTCAAGCCTCAGGGACACCGCAGGTGGGGAGCCGCCGAATCGTTAAGTCGATGCTGAATCGAGGGTGCGACGTTTCAATGGGCTAAGCGCGTCGTTAGCTTGATATATGGTTTTCACGATTCCGTTATCAGAATTTTAGCCGGCTTCGGGCGTTGCTTATGCTCACGCTTATGAATCGCGTTCGTGGACAGGCTGTTCACACGCATTGTTAGATATTGAAGGCTTGGGAAAAGGAAGCTAAGGAGCGGGTGCTAGCCACTTTACGCTTAATCCCGGAATCCCTTGCTGCCGATCCGTCGCTGACAATACATACCTGTGCAGAGGAATGCTTACATGCTTAGAAACGATGAACAACGCGGAGACGTTCCGTCCTCCTGACAAAAACATCGTGAAGTGCGAGTCCTGCAGCTGGGTAATCTGGTATGACGTACGCCTGAGATCATTGCTATTCCGGGTTCTCCGCAGCATCTTGGGAAATTTCATCCGCAGCGTCTAACCAACAGACGCGGGCTTCAAGGCTTCGCAAAGTGGAATATAGGTATGCTCTAGTTTTCCATCTGGGCGCAATGGTCGTGGAGAGTGTGCTAGAAGATTTTCATTCATATCTTTCCTGAGACATAACGCCAGTCCGGTATTTTGCCTGCAAGACCCACCGCGATTGCTGACCGTCACGGTCATTGCGTTCATGAAGTCCTCCATATCAATATACATGCGGTAGGCCGTCATTGCACATAATCTCCTCTCTGGCTCTTGCGACCCTTTCTTAAGCTACTTTTGCGTAACTTCTTACTCGACCTCAGTCTTGGACTCGAAGTTGTCGCCAGCGACGAGGTCGGGGATGTCATCATCGTCCTCCTCGTCGTCGTCCTCCTTCTTGTCACCGTCCTCGCCCTTCTCCTTCTGCATGCTCTGGTAAGATTCGGCGAGTTTGCGTAGCGATGCGAGCGAGTCGGGGCCGAGCTGGTTGAGGATGCCGGGGACGAGCTCTGTCAGCTCCTTGTCCTCGCCGTGTCCGTAGATGGCGAAGGTGTTGGCAGGCACTGACGCGTGAACTATAAGATGCTTGCGTTAGTATGCACTCCGACAAAAAGGTAGGGTGGCATGAGTGTGGATCATGAAGTGCCATGTCTGTGATGTACCAGGGCACTCTTCTCTATCCACATGTCACAACGCTTGGGATGACGTACCCTTTGGTGCGGAGAAGTGGATGACGTTTCCGTCGCTCTTGAACATGTTGACCTCCTCAATGGCCTGGATGGGCTGGACGTTGAGCTTCTTCAGCGCGGTCTGGAGCTTCTTGTCGTCGGTGCCAGCGGCCCTGTGGACCTTCTTGACCTTCCTGCGGGGAGTACCCTTGCCGCTATATATCGAATTAGCCTCGAATTCCTCATAGCCATCTCAGTCCTGAGTATCGCTCGCTACCAATGGGCGGTCGTGGTGGGATTTCGCGGGTTCGTGATATTTTGCGGTGCGGGGCTGTCAAAATACAGCAGGAGAGGCTTGCTTACCCTGTACACACAAGTTAGCAACTACTTCCTCGAATGACATAGCTGACTGCTCTATAAAACAATTGCAGCTCAGAATTGGAGGACGTACCAATGCGCACCGACGCTTGCATGCGCGCCAACTTTGCTTGATCCATATTTGCGGTGTTGAGGAAGGATGACTACGTGGGGAGAGCTGTAGGCGTGGAGTGTCAGCGGTCGGGTCCGGATTCTGCGCAGATTGGGGCTTGGGCTTGGGCTCAGAGCGAGCGCGGGGCCGGTACGCACCTAAATTCGGGATCGTGGCCGAGACTTGGAGTGTGGTGTTGCTGGTGAAGTTGTTGCGGCCATCGGCGAAACTCGACGGAAGCGCCGATTGTGTGCATGGCCTCGCTTGTGGAAGCTTCAGATCCCCGCAACGTCAGAGGGGTCATGGCACAACCATCTCATCCACCTCGAGACACTCGCTATGACGCGTTGGTCATTGTTTCAATTGGATTCACATGCAGATACAGATGCACAGACGAACATTCGGAATAGCGGTCCATCAATTTTACACCAAAGGAAAAATGCTTCACATCCTAGCAGACTGGACCATTGCGCTGAGTTTGATCGCGAAAAGTGGTATTAATGCTCTACTTCAAAATGCCCACATCTACTTAGAGCAGTGCGATTCCAGCCACACCAACAGCACCCAATGCCCACGAGAAAGCCTTCGCTTGCACTGCTGCACCTGTCGGCGTCGCTGATGCAGCACTGCCGCTGGCGGCCGAGCTTGGGCTTGTCTCCGTCTCCGTTCCATTGGGGTTTCCTGGAATGTCTTCCTGAGTAACCTTCATGCCTGTCTGGTTCTTGCAGTTGTCGGCGAAGTTGATCTGGGCGTTGTTGACCAGGGTGACGTCCGCACACTATGTGGCCGTTAGCGACTTTCTTGCGATGATGGACCATTCCATGTCAAAGGCTTACCTGGTACAATCCACCCGCCTCGTGGTTGTTGGTAACAACTTGGATCGAAGCCTTGGTACCATCCGTCACATTCAATCCTTCCGGTAACGAGACGTGACCGAAGCAGAAGTCTCCTAGACCTGATACTTGGGTCTGTTGTTGTGCGACGATACTGAATCCATCTCCCGGGTTATCGCCAATGGCCATGTATACAGCAACGTTGGTCTGCGGGTGCTCCATGTGCAGTTGTATCGGCCCTCCGCTGATTGGGAAATCGGTGCGCTCTTGCTGGACATCGTTGTAGCCTCCACAAGGGAAGTTGCCCTCAGTGTCATCGGTGAATCCACGCGCTTCAGGGAAATTGAGCTGGAAATGGGCGAGTGTAAGAGGAAGGAAGGCGAGCGCAAGAGCGCCGTTGGTAAGCATATTGATGATTGAGAGATAAACGTAGGTCTTGATGCCGTGTAGGAAAGAGAGGGAACAGCGCTTTCAACCTGACGCAGAGGATGCGAGAAGGTTAAGAGGGTAACAATAAACAATAAGTAAACGCCGAGATCACCTGCCGTATTTATTACAGCTTACTTTGGGACGCGACCCATCCCATGCCGTGCATTCCGTTCCAGTAAATCGCGTGGCTTGCCCGTGAGCACTCGAAGCGACCTGCATTGATCCCGCGTTTCGAATAGGTCGACGATCTAAGCAGATAGCAGTAAGTGAGCAGTATCCTGCATCAGCGGCGACTGTCGCTAATGTGCAAGCCGTTAGGGTGTGGTATCGTGTGGCGCGCAGGATGCCGACAATTGAGCAAGTTTATTACCAAAGCGGTGGTTCCTCACCGCGGAAGCGACTAGCGTCCAACAAGGTTACATTTCACCGATGGCATTTCCGGTGACGCGCCGAGGCCTAGAATATGGTTCTACTGTATAGCCGGGAATGGAGATCAAAATGATGGGAATACCACGTTTACGAACCGCATTTGTGTTGCTGGAAATAAGCTTTGTGCACCCCACGGGCTTCTGCGAGGAAGCTCCTAGCACCTTGTACAAGGGAAAAGCCAAACACCTTAGAGCCTATATCAAGATTAAAACATTCAAATTAGGTGGCCGATTGGAAACGTAAGCTCTAGGGTGTCCAGTTTCCCCTTGTATGAGGTGCTAGCGACTGGACGAACACGAAGGGCTGAAAAACCTTCTTAAAATCATGTCTCCGGGTTATCACGATGAATATTACGCTCTAGAAGAACTTTGTTTGGATATGAATAACAGAATGCAAGTCGAAGACTTAGTGCGCCGCAACCTGGTTGAACCTGCCAAACGCCAGCTCACCGACGAATGCACCTGCTAGCACAGACATAAAGTATCCAACATTGTAAGTCATGACTGCCAACATGCTGCCCAAAAGTTAGCTTTGACGCATTGACTGGGACGTGTAGGGCTTACAGGAGATATCCGACGCCGGCCACAACTGTCATCAACAGTGCCCGGGGCAGGTCGATGCTGAATCTCCATGGCTGAACGTGAGAGACCGGCGCCGAAATGATGCGCACATCCTCCTGGACACCGTTTGTTGTGAGGACACCGGTCATCGAGTTGGCGTCGTCTGAAGCGCTATCGACAACCGCTTTCTCGCCGGCAACGACGATATAGCGTCGCTTCAGCGCGCTCTTGACTGCCTTGATCTCGAGGTATGTCTTTGCGGTGAAGAGGGCGCGAAGGATTATGGACAGGAGAATAAGGAAGATGCATGTCCCTGCGTATTGACCAGCGGTCGTCGGGGTCCAAGCCTCGGAGAATAAAGGAGTGGTCGTTGACGTGACGAACGCCATTGCCATACCGCCATGTGAGGAAGTACCCATGGACATGCCGCCCATATCCATCGAATCCATAGTCATATCGTGACCCTCGTGAGCAACCATGGCGATGGGTTCGACGTGCGTGTAGCGATAAGAAGGGTACGTTGGTGAGGCTCAGGACGGGTTCCGTTTAGGTCGCGCGGGGTGATAAGGGATCGAAGAATAGGTACCGAGTTCCAGACTGCTATCTTAGTCCTGGGGCAGGCGATCGCTTAAGAGTCCTTGGTACGCTGTGGGCTTGCGCGTTCGCTGGTTCCAGTTCCGTAAAGATGAAGGCGCCTCAGCATGAACGCACGACCTGGAGGCGCTGGTTTCGTGTTGCAGTGTATACAAGTGCAATGAATGCGTAAGATTCTGCGACACTCAAGAGTGGTCAAGTCTGGGCTGAGGCGTGAAGCGTCGGGGCATGCCCAGGTGTGAGCACATTTCTCGGCAACGCCTTCCCGCCTACATGTATGACAGGCAAATCTCGCAGCTACGGAAAGATCCCTTCCATGCGCGTTGTATGGGTCATGGCACGCTGTCGGTGGCTCGGGCGTGTGAGCGACGTTCAAGCAGCCGGACTCCCAAGGAGCGACTTTGAGCATAATTAGCCGGTTATGGTTAGCGTATGAAGCTTATTTCAAGCCACGGCCAACAGAGTGCCCGCTGGGCCTTGATGCACCCCCGCAGTGCATCGACCCTGCCGCCCTGCATCTGAGAGGCAATTGATTACAGTCGGCACTACGGCCACATGGACTATTACCGGCACCATGGCTGAAGACGGTGCGTGTGTGCGTCTTTCGCTGGACGACTATCACATTTCGTCAACCTCCTACGACACTGTCACACACTGTCTATTCCCAACGTCCTAGGTTGCGTCTCCATTCCGATCCTTCGACGTACCAACGAAACAACGACCCTGGTTACATCTCAGACTGCTCGCGACGAAGTCAGCATGCGATAAACATCGGTACAGGCACACGCCATCCATCACTGGCAACCGCCCAACCTTGCATCCAGTGCAAGCCTGGAAACATAGACCAAACAAGAGTCGGCAACGGTGCAGCAGCGCGTAGCATCATGAGCCACAATCACATGTCGATGGGCTCCATGGGCGCCTTGCCCGCGCTCACAGAATGGCCAGACTTCTACTACGCCGTGATTGGGGCCGCAGTCGGCGTCGCAGCACTGTTCAACGTGTACAACTATGCGCTATACCGCCAAAGAATGCTCGCAGCAAGAGGAGGATCGCGAACGCCTGCAAAGCCCATATCATGGCTCGCCCTCGGGAATGCGACACTCTACGCCCTGACGCGCGAAGCGTCCAATTTCTCATTACGCATACCACTGAAAGCTCGCATACTCAGACTACCAACAGTCGGCCGATCGTCGCTGGTAGTCGGAAACGTGGTCGTGCTGGTCGTTCTATGTTTGTACGGCTTCGATGTGACGGACATGTTCAGCATGGAGAATATTGGCTTTCGTTGCGGTGTAATCACGATCGCCCAACTACCGATTATCGTGCTGCTAGCTGGCAAGAACAACATTATCGGGTGTCTTAGCGGTGTGAGTTACGAGCGTTTAAATTGGCTACATCGATGGTGCGCTCGATGCATGCTCCTTACGGCCACCATGCACCTGGGATATTTCCTCAGTGCATGGGCTCCATACGACTATATCGGCTACCAACTCAAGAATAACGCGATTGTTTGGAAAGGCCTTGCTGCATGGTGTACCCTGGCATGGATTGTGTTCAGTTCCATGACACCAATCCGAGGCTGGAATTACGAGATATTCGTTATTCAACATATCGTTTCGTTTGCAGTTTTCCTTGCGTTCGTCTACATTCATACCCCTCTCGAGATGAACGGCTATGTCTGGGCTCCTGTTGCCATTTTCCTGTTCGACCGCCTCTTCCGAGCATTGCGACTGCTATACATCAACAGCTCCGTATTTCATCCTGCGTTAAAGAAGAGGGGCCAACTGAATGGCCTCTGGGCGTGCAAAGCCGAATTCACACCTCTCCCTCACAACACCACCCGAATCACTATACCCAACCCACCCATCAGCTGGACTCCTGGTCAACATGTATATCTATCATGTCACTCCGTTGTGCCGCTACAAAGCCATCCATTCACCGTGGCCTCGATACCAGCAGATGGGAAGATGGAGTTTTACGTCAAGGCTGAGAAGGGAGGTACCAGGCGTCTCTTCATGCACGCGGAGAAATCCGGTAGTCTATCTGGAGTGCCCGTCAAAGCCAGGACTGTGGCCATAGAAGGCCCATACGGCACTTTAAGACCACTCCGCCAATTCGACAGCGTCGTTCTCCTCGCAGGAAGTACCGGCGGTACTTTCACTCTCCCACTCCTCCGCGACCTCCTCCAGGGTTGGAAGGAGAATGCTTGTGGCAACACAGGTAGTACTTCGATCTTCAAAACACCAACAGGTGCTGCCACGCGACATATCCGCTTCGTATGGGTCGTCAAGAGCAGAGGGCAGCTAAGCTGGTTCTCCGAGCAACTGTCCTCCGTATACACTGAGTTCCGAACGCTGCAGGAAACACTCCGCGACATCAAACTTGAAATGAGCGTCTACATCACCTGCGACGAGTCCTTCACAGAAGAGCACAACTCCGTACTCTCTAGCGTAACTACACCCAACATAAACACAAAATCACAGAACGAGCCCCAGCACGGCACTGTGCAATACAGATCGCCCTCACAGACATCGGAAAAGAAGAGCGAGAAGAAATCGCATAGGCAGGGATACCAAGAAGTAACATCTGTCGATTCAACAAGTCTCGATATCCAACAAGCATGTGGTCCGAACGGCACATGCTGTTGCCGCACTGCGGTTGACGAATCATCCTCAGCTAGTAAAGCAGTGTGCAGCTGTTCGAAACCTACAGCTACCTCGTCTCGACCTGCATCCTTCGCACCTTCCACTCCGTCTTCCCTCGAAAAAGGCAAGAGAGTCATTGTCCACCCGTCGATAGCGATATACTCCGGTCGACCGAAGACGCGGGATATCATACGCAGGTCGTTGGAACAAGCGTTGGGCGAGAGTGCAGTGGTGGTGTGTGGGCCACAAGGATTAGTGGCAGACGTGAAGCACGATGTTGTCTCGTTGAGCGATGAGCGGGCGGTGCACAAAGGGACGGGAGCGCAGGGCATATACCTACACACCGAAAGCTTCGGATGGTGACATCTTCACTTCGAATATATTCTTAACCACACCACGTCATCCAAAAGTGCATAATGTGAAGTATGGTAGTAGTAACATTCGTCGCAATAAATAAGAGTACAGATGCAAACCGTCTCATCACGGTGCAACGCCTCAAACGCCTATCCAAACCCAACCCACAATATCGCCAAAAAGATGCTAGTATGCGTTCGTGGAAAATGTGCGTAAAACAAAGCGCAGATGCAATGATGATGACAAAGGGAAGAGATGGTAGATGGGACGCGAGGCAAGCGCTCGCTTTCAATCCACAATCCTCAACGCCAGACACCACTCCGTTTGATGGAACAAAGGAAATGGTATTTGCCCGCCCTCCTTTCGTCACGCCAACGCCGTGGAATGTTATGTG